TGCCTGGGACAGCAGGAGGACGCTGACGCTGGACACGACTACCAGTGGTAGCAGCACGAACAGGCGACGCTCGACGAGACGCAGGTGACACAGGACGTGACGCAGGCTCACGTCTCTCAGCAAGACCTCCAGTCGGACCAGTGTAAGGAGTAGGCACAGGGAGTGGGGAGGCAGGCGGTAACTGTGGCTGTGACTGGACAGACGGCGGACACTCTAAGGCGAGAGGAGGACAGGGAGGAGGAGTCTGACCAAGAACCTGTTGAAGGAGCGGAACGAAGTACGGCCGTGGCCGTGCAGCAACTCCCGAACTAGCAGAGACACCTGCGGCAGGGTCCTCAGCACCAGCAGAAGCTCCACCCTCCGGGTCCCCCACTCCAGCGGCAGCAGCAGCACCTCCAGCAGCACCAGCAGCACCTCCAGGAGCAGCAGCACCTCCAGCAGCAGGGTCCGCAGCACCCACAGCAGCTCCAACGCCCGGGTCCTCAGTACGAGCAGCACCTCTAGCAGCACCGCCAGCAGCAGCAGCACCTCCAGCACCAGGGTCCGCAGCACCCGCAGCAGCGTCAAATCCGGGGATCCCAGCACCAGCAGCTCCACTCCGGAGACTGATGTGCCGAGCGTACCACTCTCGAAGCTGTGGGGAAGAGGGCGGCTCCCGCCGTGGTGGGGAAACTCGAGTACCAACTCCAGTAGCACCACGAGCCCGAGACGTACCCTACCGGAGGCTGCAGTACCGTGAGTACCACTCACGTAGCTGCTGCGAAGAGGGAGGTCCTCCAGGCGACTCACAGTCAACTGCAACACCACCAAGCTCAGCACCCCCAGACTCAGCAACGCCAGGCTCAGTACCCCCAGACCCAGCACCCCCAGGCTCAGCACCCCCAGTCTCAGCACCCCCAGACTCAGCACCCCCAGGCTCCACCCGCTCAGGCTCCGCACGCTCAGGCTCCGCACTCTCAGGCTCAGCACCTCTAGCAGGACGCGAGTCGACAGCTACCTCGGCAGGCTCAACCGGGTCTACCTGAGAGACACCTGAGGGAGCGGCACCCTGAGGGGGAAGGGGGTCTACCACTGCAGCACCTGGCGCGAGGAAGAGAGGCGGGGGAGGGAGCGGGGCAGTGCGGTAGGGGAAGAGGCGGTAGAAGGGCACGGACTCGTCAAAAGTAACGTCCTGAGAGGGGAAGACGCGGTGCAAGGCGGGGTGGTAAAACTTCCATCCAGACGCATCCGGAACAAAGCCAAGAAAGACACAGGGAGCAGTGCGGGAGGAGAGCTTGTCCGCAGACGTGTTGCGAACAAAAGCTCGGGATCCCCAGACACGGAAGCGTGACGCATCGCCAACCTCCCCCGTCCACAGCAGTGTGGGCGAGGTCTCCGGAGCGGAGACACGGGGCCAGAGGTTGAGCTGATGCGCAGCGTACCGGACCGCAAACGGCTACAGAAAGTGGGGGGCAGCCGCGTGGACTAAGGAGGTACGAGCGACCTCCATGACCAAGCCAATGCGGCGCTCAGCAACCCCATTCTGCTGTGGAGAGGCCGGAAGCGTGAACGACTGGCGAATGCCGTGCTCGGCACAGTAGGCTGCCAAGAGGTCGGAGGAGAACTCGCCACCTCTGTCAGAGTGCAAGCGCAGGACAGGAAACTCCGAGCGAAAACGCTCTCGCAACTGAAGACGTGCTCTGCTGATCCAAGGGATCAGGACATCAGGGACTTCACCCTTGGTGCGCAAGGGGAAGACCGTGGTGTAGCGCGAGTAGTCGTCAACGACGATCAGGAAGTACCTCTCCTGGCCCTGAGCACGGACGCGGGCTGGGCCCCACACGTCCATGTGGAGCGTCTGCAAATGAGCTGTCGTCGGGGGGAACGAGGAGGAGTGAGGGGCAGCGCGCTGCCGCCCCTCGACACAGGGAAGACAAGCAGGAGCAAGGGAGGGTGGGAGGGGAGGGAGTACCCGAGGAAGGCCGCCTTTCCCGTGATATAATTTAAATTCCTGGGTGGTGCTGTCGGCTTCCAGGTGGATGCCCTTCGCCATCAACTGGCTGACGCTCAGTAAGTTGTAGCCGAGTCCTTCTGCTATTAGTACCTTTGACATGTGTAGTATAACATTAGTCTCCCTGGACTGAAGTTGTACCACTCCTTGTCGTCGTGTGCGCAGGTTCTGATTGTTGGCAACTGTGATGACGACCTCTCGTTGAAGTCGATGTTCGCGTTGGACGAAGCGTCCCGAAGAGCACATGTGTTGTCCGCAGCAACTGTCCAAGAACCAAGTATCTTTCCCGGATGGTTCACTTTCAGCAATGGCGGCGTACGTCGGATTCGGTTGAAGAGACTCGCGGCGAGGCGTGCTGTTGTCAAGTTGTTCTTCGGGTGAGTAGTACGGTGGTGACTCGGTTGTGCAGGAGTCGGTTATCTTTACCATGCAGTTGATGATATTCCTTGGTTTTTGCGCAGGTTGTCCTGTTGGAGTCGTTGAAGCTTGGACTGAAGTTGTTGGGCCTGCTTGCGTCGAGGTGACTTGGCCGCTCGAAGGTCGGAGTTGTCGCTGTGGTGCTGTCGATTGATGACGATACGGGCAGTGAGTGCGAGGATGTCCTAAAGTCTTGCAGATATGGCAAAAAGGAGGTACTGGCTTCGGTTGTTGTTGCTGTCGAGTGTTGCTATTGTTGTAGCGTCGCTGGGTGTGAAAGGCGAATTCTGGTACTGATGCCTTTTTCTTATGTCGTTCTTCTTGCAGGTCCATATCCTGCTGCTCGGCGTGAATTTCGGCGCAGAGTGCCGCTTCGGAGATTCTTCCGTGTGCTCGTAATATGGCGCGAGTGGAGCGCCAGTGAGGGCCGAGACCGCCGATGACGACCGTGACGAAGGCGTCTTCTGAAATTGAACCTCCACATCGAAGGAGCCTGTCGCGCAGCTCGCGGCAGCGACTGATATACTCCATGCCTTTCTCGTCTGGCTTCATTTCGATTGTTGTCAGCTGCGCCATTAACCGGCTTTGGTTTACACTGTCTGTTGCTTGATACAGGTTCTTCAGGTGGTTGTACGCGAGCTCCGCGGAGTTGCCGTAGCCTCGGTAAGGCCTGATGTTCTGCTGTTGGGTCGGGGTAATGTTCCTTAGTAGTATAGTGTACGCCATCATTGATTGATAAGTATACTGCTGCTTCTCATACTGTGTGCCGTTTGTTGGATATGGCAGGGACCCGTCGAAGAAGCCAAGGATTTGCGCTCCTTCCATCATCAGCTCGAATTCGAAAGACCAGGTGAAGAAGTCTTTTCCGTCAAAGGGCTTTGTCGTTTGCAGCTTTAAAACGTGCGCGAATTGCGACTGAACTTGTAATGCGTCCAGTGCTCTCTCTTGTCCCGGTGCAGGTTGTGGTTGCGGCATAAAGCCGATGGAGCCACGCTGGGGCTCGTACGGAGCAAAGGTGGGTTGTTGTTGATTCCCGCGCGCGTAGGATGAGCCATCGAGACTCATAGGCGTCACGTTTTTGTTGTTGTTGCTGTTGTTTGATTGCGCAGGTGCTCCTTGCTGGTGCTGCTCGTAGAAGGACATGAAGGAGAAGAATTTCTCCATCATGCTTGGATCGAAGCCCGCGCCTTGGTTTGCGGGTGTTTCCGTAGACCCAGCTGCTGGTCTCGTCGTTGTCCCCTCCTCTGTCAGTAGGCCAGAGGCAGGTGGTGGAGTAGGGGTAGTACCGGGAGAGCCGTTGGAGGAGCTCCTCTCCTTTCTAGCAGACATGTCTTCTTTGATGTACTGAGTGTTGAATAATGAATTTTAACTCTAACTGCTCTCATACCATGTTGGGCTGAAACGCCCTAGGATCTTTGTAGAGTTAAAGTCTGAGTAGATGTTGTAATAGCGGAAGCGTTGAATAAAGCTCTTGAACCACCTTGCGCTAGTATGTGAGGGCAAAGTAAGTTGATAAAAGCAAAGAGATACAAGAATAAAATTAGATGAGTACAGAGAATATGAAGAGACATTATTGATAAAGTTTAGAAGAGAGAAGAGGATTGCACTAGTAAGAATGGGGATACAAATAGCAAACCCTAGAAGGGTTGTACTCGCTATAGAGCACCCCACCACAGGCTAGAGCATAAGATAACATTCTGACAATTATAACTAATTTTACTGTTGCGGTTCGATACAGTGCGACTCGGGCAACTGCTCAATGTCGAGTCAGTTGTTTGTCCTTGCTGTCGCGCTGCGTCAGGTCAAAGGTCGCTGCCCTTTGACTTTCCCCTAACCTCCGACGATTACGTTAACCTCGTTGGTTGACTCGCGCTGCTTCGACTTGAGCTGCTTCGTTTTTTGTCTTGAGTATTGACACGACAGAGGCGCTTAACTTATTTGTTCCCAACAGTTTTTTCGTGAGGTTGGGGTTGTGGTGGCGATTTTTGCCACAACCTGCAACCAATCGAGGTTGGGGGGTAGATTGGCGCAAAATTTGTAAGCCAATCCTGAGAAGGCCAACTTTCAGAGGGGGGGTTGGGTTGTCAGAAAGTAGTAACTGCACCTCGCCACCCAAGGATGGAGCGAAGCCCTGTGCTACCTGGTTTTTAAGTGATAAACCAGGTCCTCCCGCAGGAGGTATGTAGGCGACAGCTTTAAGAACTTGATTTGGTCCTTATGTTAGGTTTGGTCAGCAATGGGTTTTCAATACATGCTGGGAAGCACTGAGCATCACTTCTATACTCTTAAGGGCATAACAGGGTAAATTACTACGAGGACATAAGGCAGTCTCCTGAAGGTTTCGCAACCCAACCCTTGCTTTTCCCCCAGCCGTCATCATCACACACAACCAACCAACAGGTACCTCGTGAGTTCGTCAGACTTGAGTTCATCAAACTTGATTGCTGGTTGATGCTGTTTCTGACCTTCTCATAACTGTTTTCACTGGGCTCTTACAAGTCAAGTTTTTTAGGAGCGGCCATCCGTGAAAGCCGGTGATTTGACGGAGCGCGTCGCCATGTCGACGCCGAACAAGCGGAGGGAGATGGATGTGATGAAGCTGTGAGTTGGTGGTTGGAGTTTAGCAGATTAGGGTTTCCCGGTTTAGCAACAGGATTTGACTTCGGGTGTTTTCCGAGAGTGCAGGATGATGAGTGATTATAAAGTCGAGCTTATAAATGACAGTATGATCGAGTTCAACGTCTACTTTCACGGACCTAAAGAGAGTAAGTTTTTTCCGCCTTTCTAAGTTCTGCTGCTCGTTCGGCTGCTCGTCGGATTCTTCTCACTTTGTTTTTAATACCAACGCCGGCAGGTCCATATGAGGGAGGCGTCTGGAAAGTCCACGTTGAACTCCCTGATGCGTATCCCTACAAGTCTCCATCGATTGGATTCATTAATCGGATTTTCCACCCTAACGTCGACGAATCGTGAGTTGTTGTACCCGCCGTCGACAAGCTTCCTATTCTCGTCGCACAGTGTGGGTAGAGCAGCGCGCGACTAACGCGTATTCCGTGTATGCATCGGCGTTTTCCAGGTCTGGCTCGGTATGCCTAGACGTCATCAATCAAACATGGAGTCCAATGTTCGGTGCGTGATGCGCATACCGTAACTCATCTAGGCCACCGGTTCCCCCCCCCCACCCCACCCCCTTCCATCCATTTTCTCATTTCCAGTTGCTAAGTTCTCCCTACTGCTCTCCTTTTTTGTCTCGCAAGTTGTCTATCCATTTGCTTCTCCATTCATTCCTTCGTTCATTTCATGGCTCACGCTACCGTTCCGTCACTGCAGATTTGATCAACGTGTTTGAGGTCTTCCTTCCACAGCTCCTGCTTTACCCGAATCCAACTGATCCTCTGAATGGCGAAGCCGCAGCTATGCTCATGCGAGACCCAGAGCAATACAGGCAGAAAGTGAAAGGTAGTGCTTTGAATCCTCCCTCCTTTATTCCCCCTCCTCCCTCCTCCCTCCTCCCGCCCTCTCTCTCTCTCTCTCTCTCTCTCTCTCTCTCTCTCCCTCTCTCTCTCTCTCTCTCTTTCTCTCTCTCTCACTTTCTCTCTTTCTCTCTCTCTCACTTTCTCTCTTTCTCTCTCTCTCTCTCTCTTTCTCTCTCTCTCTCTCTCTCTCTCTCTCTCTCTCTCTCTCTCTCTCTCTCTCTCTCCCTCTTATCAATACTAATTTGGGTAATGGCATCGGATTGGCGCCAACTTTACTAGTGCTCGCACTATTGTGTAATCAATGGTCCCTTTGCCATCATTTCCTGCAGAATACTGCTTACGTTACGGCAAGGCGGAGGATTTAGCCAGAAGGCACAAGGCGGATTCTGACGATGACGATAGCGAAGATTTGAGCGACTATGATGACAACGATGCTTCCAGCGATGAAGAGATGGCTGGGCCGACGGATTTATAAGCCGATCGCCATGGTGTTCCCGTACAGTTGCCTCTTCCAGGCAACTAGGGTTATGCTGTGCCATATGCATGCCGTGCCACCTCTTGGCTGTCCTCCTCCTTGTAAATATGTTCCTCTGATCCATTCATCTTATAGGAGCTGCCACTTCACAGACCTTCGATTCGTTTTTATCACCTGATTCCATCGCAGATGCACCGTCGTGTCTATCACACCCTGACTTCCCTTGCTAACAGCCTTTACCCCCTTCTCGTCCCTGATCCCCTTACCGTGGGGCCTGGCGCTCTAAGCCTTGCCCCCCTCTTCCTTTCCTCCCATGGGGGTCAACTTCCACAGCCTCCACTATACTCTGTTCTTTCACAATCTACAGCACCCACATTCATCCATGTTCCTCTCCACTTCATCTCTCGCCACTCTGTTCATCCATAATGTGTTGATTCGGCTTGCCTTCAGAGGTCAAAAGTCACATGAAATGTGATTTGTCACTCGAACAGGAGGGGTGTAGCACGTCCAAACATCCAAACCACAGGCTGAGTCAGCATGTGCACCATCAACTCAACTTGTCACTCAAGGACTGTTCTCTCCCTTGACAGCTTTGTCCTACACACCCGTAGCTGTTTGTATCCATAATCTAAAGAACTACCGCAAGTACAATGCACTCTGCTTTGGCTTGGCACCACATGCCAAATAACTTATTCCACGATCCAGTGCATGCATTCCAACCCAACATCAACAACACTCTCATTTCGAGTCAATCTCGATCCAATCCCGCTGAAGCCGTTCCAGCGTTTTTGGCACAAACCCAGAGCCCCCTACCCTGAGCCGAGTCACCTTCTTCCCTTCCAGAACCGGCAGCAGCCAAGCATGCTGCATGTTGTTGCAGCCCAGGTCCAACTCCTGCAGCGCAGGAACCAAACTCAGGTGCTCCAGAAACAGCTTAGGGCGTGTACCAAACTCAGTCTCCTGAGACGATTCCATCCCTGCGATGTCATCCCCTTGCTGTACGTGCAGGAGAAGACCTCAAGGCTCGCCAACATCCCCACGAACTGCAGAGTCGAATCAGTCACGCGGCTCACATGCAGCTCTCGCAAGCTCTGAAACGGCTGGATAGTGCTGATGGGATCAGACTGAGCAGGCAGGTTGCCTTGACGGCTAGCTGGTAGATTGAGAACAATGGAGGGGTCAGCACACGCGATGACGAGCCTCTGGAGCCGAGACATGCGAGGGAAGAGCGGCAGAGCGTCTGAACGGACGGAAGTCTCGTGGAGGTGAAGGGCTGTGAGAGAGGGCATGCGGAGGAGCAGATTCACGGCGCATGGGGAGACGGGGTGAAGTTTCTGGAGGTTGAGAGTGGTGACGGACGGTAGCAAGCCCGGATAGCAGTGGGGAGTGAGGAAGAGGTAGCAGGCAAGGGAGAGGCTAGAAAGAGAGAGCTCTTTTGCAGCGGGGTCCGGGTGGTTCCAAAGCTGTGATACCACCCGGTTAATATCTCGGGTGGTATTTTCCATCCTGTCGGGATGGATGCTTCGTCTCTGCAAATCATCGATCCGTCTCTGTAGCCGTGCCCGCACCTCTGCTTCGCTTGCTACCCGGCCGGCCGGCCACTGATATAACCTCCCCACCGGTGGTCCTCCTGCTCTCCCCGCCGTGCGATTCCCTCCTCCCTTGTGTGCAGGCCTATCCTCCACATTCGTAACTGCTCCTCCTGAATCCACACTCGCGCCCCCTCTGCTCCCGGCAGTACGGGCGGCAGTAATGAGCGGCTGGGGTGGAAAGTAGGGGGAAAGGGGGAGGAGTGGGTGAGGGCAAGAGCGAAAAAAAGAGGTGAAAATGGGGAACGGTTAGGACAAGGCAAAGAGTGGGAACAGGGGATAAACGAGGGAATGCGGGAGGTGCAGTCATGAATGGCTGGTTGGGAGAACTGGACGGTATGTGAGGAAGCATAGAACATTAACAGAAAGGGAGAAAACGGGAGGGGAAGAAAAGGGAGGAAAAGAGAGTAAATGGGAGAAAAAACTAAGGAATACGGGATGGACGGAAACAAGAGGGGATAGTAAGCAAGTTGCAGGTGAGGGTCTCTTGAAAAATGAGGATGTTAGTTACATTTCCAGGTAATAACTGTCGTACCCCTCGCCCCGCTCACCTGCACCATGGAAAGATTGTCAACAACTTCCTCTTGCATGGCTGCCTCCCTGACAACCGCTTGCCTCACTGACTGTGAGTCCACATCGGCCAGTCGCCCCTCCCCTGCCCTTCGCTCTGCCCCTTGCGCTGGCTCCCGCTCCCCCCATTGCGCTGCCCCTTGCTCTGCCTCTTGCCCTGCCCATTGCCCTGCTCCTTGCCCTGCCCCTTGCGCCACCCCTTGCGCCACCCCTTGCCCTGCCCCTTGCGCCACCCCTTGCCCTGCCCCTTGCTCTACTCCTCGTTTCGCCCCTTCCTCTGCTGACCCTATGCCTCGCCCTTCCCCTCCATCCGCTTCGTTCTCGTGCCCCTCCTCTGCACCGTCCCTTCCTCTTTCCTCTTGCTTCAACCCTGGCTCTTCCTAGTCCTCGCCTCCATGTCTCGTTCTCCGAACCCGCAAGCCCATCTACCATCGCCTCTTCCATCCTCTGCGTCGTTTCCTCTACCGCGTCCCTCACCCCCTCTTCCTGCGCCTCCTCTCCCTCCCCCTCCTCGATCTCCATTGCCCATTGATCCCCCCCGTCTTCTTCTTTCCCCTCTTTCATTCTATCCGCATGAGCCTTGTTTTGAGCCGCCTCAGAAGTAGCCTCTCCCTCTTTCTCCTCTGTCATTCTACCCGCATGAGAATTCCGGTTTTCAAGTCCGAACGACAGCATCCTCACTGCCTGCACCATTGAACGGAAGGCCTCCGCGTGACCATTCAGAGCCGTTAGATGCTGCCACGTGGGTGATCCGACGAAGGGATTATTAGGAAAGGAATGGGCAAGGGAAAATTCGGATGGCATGCACTGGAGATGGGTAAGGGCATGCACTGGACAAGACATGCCAGGGCATTGCTGGTGTGGCATAGGCCGCGCGATTACCTCCGTCATATAGTGTGGGTGTGTAATATGGGGCATGGTGTTGCACGTGCGACATGGACGATGAGATGTATGGCATGGGATGGGATGGGATGGGATGGGATGGTAGGGCATGGCATCGCATGGCTTGGCATGGCTTGGTATGATGGCGAAGCGTGTCGTGGCCTGGCGTGAGCGTGGCATGTGCTGTGCGCACTCACCTCCATCATTATCACCGGATGCGACGGAGAGCCATCCATCATGCGCGCGCGCTTGCGCGCTCCCTCGGCCTGAGACAGCACCGCTTCCCTCAGCCACCCCTCTCGGAGCACAGTAGCGAGCGACGACATCGCATCCACCTTCCGCCCAATCCACTCCTCCAGCTCCCGCATCGCCTTCTTGCCTTCCCTCACCACTCCTTCCAGCTCCTCTTCCCGCCGCCTTCCTTCCGCTAAAGCCTCCCGCGCTTTCTTTAATTCATTCCCCCATTCCCTCTGGTCCTTCCGCTCCTGCTCGTTCCTCCCCGCGTTTCCGGCGTGTGAAGTGGTGTCCATTCGATCTGTCAAGTCCTTCGCGGCGTCGTTACCCTTCGCACGGCGCGTCGTGGTTATTCGCGGACCAGTCACCTGGGAGTGAACACAGGCTTTTTACAGGGCGAAGTCACCACCGGCGAGGGGTGAATTCTCGGCTCGGCGAGGAGAGAAGGGTTCCCGGTTGGGAGGATTGTCAGGTTGGTATGCGACAAGCTTGCGTGCAAAGCGCGTAGAAGAAAAACGGCAAGAAATTAATGACGAAATGACGAAACGCCGCTACGGAGCAATAGTTGTTCACAAAGGGCGGCGCGGAATAGTAAAGGATAATTGTTTTGTTTCTTCGTGCTTTCAATAGCAAAAAAGACGGGAAGCCATTAGGACCGTAGACGGGCAAAGTCTATCGAAAGGATTACTGTTCTCAATAAGAACGGCTTCGCAAGTTGGGAGGATTGTCGGGTGGTGTGCTGAGCTTGCGGATAAAGCGCATGGAGGGGAAAGGTTGCAGTGGTGAGGGAGAACAGATGCACTCTTGCACAAAGGCGCGATTCAATGTGGGAGAAAACCGGTGACATCCGTTTCAGAACGTCACATAGAAAGTGTCCTCACAAGTAACGCGGCGCCGTGTTCTCCAATTTTAAAATTCAAACCTATGTTTCAAACCCGCTTTAATGAACTCTCTTTTGTTTACAATGAGGTGTTAAAAAAGGCATGAGTGCATACAACACGTGTTTCTGTCTAAAGAGAAGAGAAACGGTGAAACGGGGTGGATACCCGAAACCCTGAAGTCTTGAATTACTATGTTTACTTCTGCGTCTGCGCTGTCCCAGCCTAACAAATGTTGGATGTTGTTCGTGGAGAAGCATTTGCACAGAGGCCAACTTGTTGCTACAAATAGTATATAAAGCCTTCGACCATACAAGTCACACATACTTTCTTTATCCTATCCTTCCAGAGAATCTGCTGTGTGCCTAGTTGACGGCCAGTCATCTCTAGCTCAGAGGTTGAACCCGTAGCATGACTGACTGTCAACTGGGAACGGATAACCTGATTCTGTAAGTAATCCTTCAATTTGGGCTGTTCGCACGCTCAAGGATTTACACCTTGGTGTTCGTGGGAACCAGGACTTTATCCACACCGTGAGCGATGAAGTACGGCCCAGCGTACAGCCTGACGATCTTGATCGTGGTCCAGGCGGCAGGGGGCGCGTTGGGCGTCTTGGCGAAAGAAACCGTGTTACCATTCTGCTGCGAAACCTTGTACATCGCCTGCTTCAGCTGCGTGCCGATCGGCTGCGACTTCTTGAGCACCTTGAGCGCGGGAACGGTGTACTTCTTGCGGATGATGTGGTACGCCGTGATGTTGTAGATTCTGGGGATGTTGGCTTTGTTAACGGGGACCTTCTTAGCGAGAGCCTCCGCCTCTGTGTCGCTGGGGAGGAGCAGGGTTGCGTCGCTGAGTGCTGTGAAATCGTACTTGGAGTTCACTGAAGGGGGGTGAGGGAGAGGAAGAGGCAGAGAGAGAGAGCGGGAACAGAGAACAAGAAATGGTTCGATGGCTGGCCAAAATCTATAGCTAACGTACGTGGAAACGGGATGCAAATGGGAGGATGGTCAGAGGCGAGGAAGAAGACATGGTTCTGAGCTAATCGAAGGAATCAAAACAGGACGCGGAACGAAGAGGTTCGGAGTCGACGTGCATAGAGAAGCGTGGGCAGTTTGTCGCGTGGAAGAAGACTGAGAAATAGGCTGGCATGAGATCTCGACGTTTCGGGAGTTCTGATTTAGAAGTAAAAGATAAAGAAAGAGAGTTCTTACGTGCGAGGCCGATGTACTTGTTGATGTCCTTGGCGTATTTCGCGTATTGCGGAAACTTCTTAGTAATGGCGTTCGCCATTTTCTGAAGCTCCGCTTTTATTTGCGCCTTGGTGGGTTTCGCCGGCGCCTGGGCGTGCGCGCTCGCGAAGCACAGCACGATGCAGAGCAGCCCTAGGAGAGAGAGGTATCGTGAGCTGGCCATGTTCGGGAAAAAAAAAAACCACGATCGTACTGAAGGAAACAGTTTCCGTGCAAAGGGAAGATCGGTACGAAGATGTGGAGGTGTGGGTGGCTGGCGAATCTGAAGCGAGCGAGTGGCTTCGATCAAGAGGGAAGTGAAATCGATCAGAGGCTGTTCAGGTCAGGTGAGTCAAGGTGAGGCATGAAAGAATTTGATGAGAGTTGGAGGAGCACGGAAACTGTTTTATAGGTGTGGAATGGGGCTGGCTGGGGACGGGAGCGCGTCAACAAATACCGACATGCGGCGCGAGAAGCGGTGATGCAGCTCAGGCGAAGTTACATTTTCGGTGACGACTAGGCTTGAATTCGTCGTGCTGGAATTTGGGAGACGGGGCAACTGAGCAGTACAGTACTTGTCGCCAATGAATCGGGGGGCCCGGAAAATGTCGCGAAGCTCGTTGACGGATAGTGGTGGTGGCTGTCGGTTGAAGTCGCGGTTTGCGTGAAGCTGGCGACTTCAACGACATTCCTTCCGTCACCGAGGCAACGTTTATCGTCCTGCTCTATAGAAGCATTTTCACCAAAGAGGAGACATGCTATAACACTGAAAATCTGCTTGATACATGTTTCATGCCTCCAAACCAATTATCAAAATGGAAACTGCACCTCTGGAATCCAAAAACGTTAGCTTAGATCCACAAAATACACACCCCTGTACATACATACACTGCTCTACCATACTAGTCAATAACTGGCATCCATCTACAGAAAAACGCCACACAAAAGCACAAGTTTGGCACTCCAAATGCACTAGCTGCAGCACAACAAATCATCACTACCAGTATCACTTGAATGTTGCCATTTTGCGAAACGGCACCATGCGCTTCCTAAAGCAGGGAACAGAGGAAGGGCAGGGGAACACAGGAGGCGTTGGTACTTCAAAATTCAGTGACAAATAGGCTCCATTATTGAAAAAGGGAATGGGACAAGAGTATAGGAGCACCTGAAGCGGAGATGGTCCACTCCATCTACCTAGATGGGGTACAGGGCGAGGATAAGTGATGGTTGGGAATGGGGACAAGGCGAATGGGGTTGGGTATGGTGTGCTGCTGGGGACCATATGGGGGAGGGGGGAGGGGGGAGGGGGGAGGGAAAAGGGGGGAATGTGTGGGAGCCTTGGACCTAGTGGGTGAGCGGGAATCAGGAAGGAGCGAATCAGGATGGCACAAGTGTACACATAAATGTGCGAGCCTACTCACTTTGGCGAAACCAACCCAAACGCGCCGGATGAGTCTTTGGGCTTGCTCGTCGCCGCCTGGGCGTCCGTCTCTTCAGCCGCGCTCCTCCCTTCCGCGCTTCCCCTCCCCTCCTCGCTCTCGCACTCCGCAATGGGTTCGGCCGCACCCAGAGAAACAACCTCACTCGAGTCAGAGACAGCTGCGGAGCCAAATCCGCCAATCGTAGGCTTCCCTGACAGAAACTGCGCGGAAGACTTGGCAGCAGTCGCATTGTTATCCCCGCTAGAAGCCTGCGCCTTATCCGCCGCTTTAAACGAGAACCATTTTGAGAAGCGACGGGAGGGCGTGAGCGGGGGGGCGATGCCCCCGCTGGGGGCAGTCGGGGCTGCGGAGGGGAGGGCAGAGCAGGAGAGCGGGCCGTGATCAGCGGAGGCGGCGGGGTCCGACTCGGGGACAGTGAGCGCGGGGAGGAAGGGCAACCCTCCGCCTGAGGATTTTCCGCGGATGCGGAAGGAGCGCGCGGAAATGAGGGAGGAGAGGGCGCCGGTGCTCGTGCTTTTGCTTATGGTTCCGCCGCTGTTCGCCGCGCGCGCTGCATCTTTATGCGGAGCAGCGCCGGTGCTGGTGCTGACGGGCGTCACGGTGTCGCTGTTAGGAGTTGTGCCTGTTGCGGATTCGAGGGAGAAAAGCCCGCTTGCGCTTGTGCTCTTACGAATGCCGCCGCCGACACCGCCGCCATTGCTGCTGCTGCTCGGGGCGTTCAAGCTTTCAGCGGTTTCAGCGCTCGGAGCAGGGGCGATGGCGGTGGCGCCGGTGTCGCTAACAATGGCAGTGGCTGTTGGGGTGACGACTACAGCACTCTCCACCTCCGCCACCGCGCTCTCCGCCTCCGCGCCCCCCACCACCACGCGCTCCGCCTCCGCGCTTTCCGCCTCCGCTTTCTCCGCCTCTGCGCTCTTAGTTTCCGCGCTCTCCACCTCCGCGCTCGACTCTGCGCTTTCCTCTTTCGCGGACTCCTCTGTCGCGGTCTCCGCCACCGCGACCTCCACCACTGCGACCTCCGCCACCGCGACCTCCGCCGCTTGCGTTGATTCTTCAGTCGACTCCACCGCCTCTGCCGTCTCAGGCGTTTCCGCAAATTCCGCTGGCGCTTCCGTCGAACTTTGCGTTTCCGTCGATTCTGGCGTTTCCGCTGGTTCTGTGCTTTCCTTCGTTTCTGTCGTTTCCATCGCGGCTTTCGCTGTGTTTGCCGCTTCCGCACGCTGCCGCGCGGCCGCCTCTCGAGCCGCTTCCTCGATCATCATGATCTGCCAGAGCACTCGGCTCTCCTCGTCCTCGTCGCCCGACTCGAACACCTCGCTCTCCGCGATTGCCGCCATGGCTCCGGCTTTACTCAACACGCCGCCGTCCATATGGTCCCACGGATGCGTCGCTAGGCCCAACGAAGCTGACGAGGCGGTTGCGTGGCTGTGGGAGCTGAGTACGTCAGTCATGGTAGAGCGAAGGTAGAGCGGAGGTAAAGCGGAGGTAGAGCGGAGGTAAGGCGGCAATAAGGCGGTCAAAGATGACTCGGAAATGCCTTGGAGTCCAAGCCCCCCTGTGGTAGTTTCTCGTTCAGAAACTCTCTCCAACGAACTCGCCGTTCTAAGGAGGCACTCCGAAGGAAATGGAACCACACAACGTGTGCTTGGGGCTCAGAAGGACACTTCCGCACGTGTTTTCGCTCCTGGTTAGGCAGCGATGAGGGGCAAATGAATCTCTAGTTCCACACACGCACCACAGGAACAGGCACACAGCACAACGTTTTCCTTGCATTCCCCTCCAAATCCATTCTGGACTGGAGGCGTGGGTTTTGAGGGAGGATGCGATTGGCAGCTGGTGCAGGGTACACCCTTCAGCGGGTGGATGGAGGCATCGAGGCGTAAGTCTGGCTGGCTCTGTTCCTTGTGAAACCCGAAACGCATTTGTGAGTTTTGTATTTCTTGCGCGGCTGGTGTGATTACATTCACGGCAGCGCGAATCGTATCGCATGTTCGCACGTTTTGTAGAGATTGTTCGTTTCGCAAGAAACATCGAGAGGGTGAACTGCGAGGTCGCAAGCGTTCGCAATGTTGCTGCGAGCTTCGCACTCGCCCCTTCGTGAACCCTAGGTGGGGATGAGCTGGGTATGTGTTGGAACAACTGTAACAGCTAAGTCTAGCGGATTTTTCATTGGCTCCCAGAAGCGATATGAATCACGACACGGAAGATCCAAGTCGTGTGCCCTTGGCGACGGGCATTGGCTGGGTGAAACTCGCTTGCAGCGATGAAGACCGATTTGCGTGGCGGAGAGTAACCCAAAATGTGGAGGTCGCATCTCCACCCATCAAGTGTGATACACGTCAGATACTCATGAATGTGATGCAGCATCTCAAGCAAGATCAGCCTGAATACTCCACTGAAACAGGAATTCGTTTGGAGAAATTCGATACTGTGTTGCCAGAGCAGCCATCACAAACGAATATATAGATGTTCACACTATGCTATCTTTCAATCTCTAGCAAGCTCCACTTCCTCGACATCAAAATCTACTCCTCGCACCACCCCTTCCAACAAGCCTGAAACCTGCATAAGCTCCAACTGACGATAGCCATCAGCCTGCACATTTCGCAACCCTATATCATCACCTTCCAACCCATTGGCCTCACCATTTTCAACATCATCATCACTATAGACATCCTCCACCGTATGCTCATATGAAGATCTCACCGAATCAGCAACGTAAGGCTCGCGATCAACGCCACCATAATCACTCAAATTGCCGCTATATGTGGTGGAAGATGCAATGTCATCCCCCGAAGGGGGGAGGAGCGGCAAAGGCCGTATGTGCCAGTCTATTGGATGGTTGGAGATGGGTGGGCGGGGTATGTGCATAAGTAGAGAGTCATGGGTTGAGTGCGGTGATCGGGGGGTGTGGGGAAGAGGGTGTGAGGAGGAAGAGGAGGAGGGGAGTGGGGAGGTGAGGTAGCGACCCCACTTTTGCAAGAGGAAGAACCTTGAGGGGAGGGATAAGAGGGACCAGGAAGAGGGGGTGATGTGATGTATGGAAGGAGAATTGACATGGGGGAGTGTGGGGTAATACAGGCGATGGTGTGGGGGGACGATTGCAGTGACATTGCATGAGATACGCATGGGTGCAAAAGGGGTTGGATGGGTGCATTTACCGATGGTACAAAAAAGACTAACAAGATGCAGTGCCAGGTGTACGTAACGCAAACACCCATTTCATGCGCGTGCATAACAAGTGTATTATGAGGGAAACTTATACGCGGAAACGAGTGTAGTTGAGTGGTGTGTACCATTGGATGAGAGCCACGAGCAGCACAGAGGAGAAGATGGAGGGGATCCAGATGTTGGGGTGAAACTTGAGGAACCTGATGGTGTATGTGTGTGGGGGGGAGGGGGAGGGGGAGAGGGGGAGAGGGGGGGGGCACGTGCAGGATGTGTGGCTTTTGAGACGCCTCAGAAGATGGAAGGGATCCAGACGTTGGGGTGGAACTTGAGGAACCTGATAGTGATGGTGTTGTGTGTGTGTGTGTGTGTGTGTGTGTGTGTGTTGGTGGGGCGGTAATGTATGGAAGGGAGAACTTCATGGGATGCATGGGGATCCAGATGTTGGGGCGTGTGTGTGAAACATGCCCACAATTCTGTCTCAAGAGGAATGTGAGACATCAATGGAACAAATACATCTGCCATGCCACCCACACCTGCCATGCCATGCCATAGGACGAACTCACGCCATGGTCGCAAGCAGAGGTGACTTTCAAGTCGACTCAAAAGTCATGCCACCCACACCTGCCATGCCATGCCATGCCATGGGAGGAACTCACGCCATGGTGGCAAGCAGAGGGAAGAAGAAGGTGATACCTGCATAAAGAGGGAGAGGGAGGGTGGGGGTTGGGGGAGTGAATGCAGGAGGGGGTTGGGAAAAGTGGAGCGGAAGAGGAGAGGCGGGGGAGGGTATGGAGCTGGTGTTGCAGTGAGGAGGTCCGATCCAGCACAAAGTGGGTTCCATGGTTTCAATACGTGGCAGCGGCTCGTTGGAAAGACACCCTGAAAGTTGTTTTGTAAGCTTGTTTAAAAAAAAAAGGAGGGGCGGGGGGGGGAGGGGCATGGAGCTGGTGCTGCAGTGTGGAAGAGGGGGAGAGGGAGTGGGGGGAGGGGGGGCTGGGAAGTCCGTGGGAAACCTGGAATGGAGATTGGGGCTGGGAGTGGGGAAATTCCACTGCCCACTCCAAGTGGCGATTGGCGATTCCACTTGAAAATGCAAGTGGCGATTTTTGTGATTTGAATGTGAGCGCATGGCTATTGTAACACCATGCCAATAAGCCCCGCCATGCTGTGACACGCACGAGTCTGAGTCGTTTCACTCTCTCTGTGCATTTGAGATGTCTCAAAAAGTCTGTGTCGTTTCACTCTCTCTGTACAACAAGTGGAAAAGGCGGCTGAATCTGAATGACGGAGGGCAAGCGGACTTTAAATCCAGCCGCCTTTAGGTGGATCTGAGACATCTAGAAGCTCAGATCAATCTAGAAGCTCAGATCCATTCCATATAGCAAGCTTCAAAACCTGAGTTCTTTCCTCCCCTCCCCTCCCCTCCCCTCCCCTCCCCTCCCCTCCCCTTCCCTCCCTTCCCCTTAACTCCCCTCCCCTTCCCTCCCCTCCTCTCCCTCCTCCCCTCCTCTCCGTTCCCCTTCCCTCCCTTCCTCTTCCCCCTCTCTCCCCTCGCTGCCCTTCTCTCCCGAACCCTCGCCTCATATCCTTAAAACTTGGAAAGGCACTGGAACTAGGCATTTGAAATGGCTGCGGCTTCCTCACACACAGCTTCGTTCTAGTGACTGGACTAGTGACTGGACTAGTGACTGGACGCTATTTACCTTACCCAGTTTTGCGGTGCCTCAAAACTCGTCTCATTTCACGTATCATGAGTTATCACAGCCGCTTTCTAGTGACCAGACGGTACTTACCAGCAGAAAAGAGGCGGAAGGTCAGCCGCCAATCAGACTCGCATCTGGATTGAGAGGAAGTGAGAGAGGGGAAGTGAGGATACCAAGGGAGGGGAGGTGTGAGAACAGAGGGGGTGAAAGAAAGGATAGGAGGGAAAGGGTAGGAGGGAAAGGGAAGAGATGATACGAGGGGAGTGGAAGGGAAGATACAAGGGGCGAGAAGAGAGAAAATCATGAGGGGTGTATGCAGAAGAGGAAGAAGGAATACAGGATGTAAAATCAGGTTGGGAAGGGAGGGAACAGGACGGAAGAGTGGAGAAACGAGGAAACGGAGGATACAAAAGCGAGAAAATGGTTCCATGCATCTGAGGCCCTGACGGTGATCGTTCACAAGAGGCGACTATTGCAGCGCTTCAAAAGTCGTCTATGTCTCGCAGTCTTTTTATGAGCCTCAAAAGTACTTGTATGTGTCTGGGACCCTGATGGTGATCAATCACCTGAGGTCCCAGAAGCGGTCGAAGCTCCTCAATGCTGCTGGCGGGGCGGCGACTGTCGTCCTGTTGCCGCCCGCTGCCGCCCGGTTGAGTGCAAAGTAGCGGGCAGAGGCGAGAAATTCCTCCTCCTCCCTCTCGTGCACATAGAGCTTGCCCATCCTCAGCACTGCTCCCAGCACGAACACTGCTATCATTGCCGCCACCACCATCAGTGATGGCTGGAGGAGGTGGGGGGAGTGGGGGGATGGAAAAAAGGGAGAGAGGGAAGGGAGGGGAGAGGGGCAGGGGCAAAAGATCATATGCAGCTGTGCATATGCACCCCGCATGTGCATGTGCGTGTGCATGTGCGTGTGCATGTGCGTGTGCGTGTGCATGTGCGTGCGCATGTGCATTTGCATGTGCATTTGCATGTGCATTCACATGTGCATTTGTATGTGCATTCGCATGTGTATTCGCATGTGTATTCGCATGTGCAATCGCATGTGCATTCGCATGTGTATTCACATGTGTATTCACATGTGTATTCGCATGTGCATTCGCATGTGTATTCGCATGTGCATTCGCATGTGCATTCACAAGTGTATTCGCATGTGTATTCACATGTGTATTCGCATGTGTATTCGCATGTGTATTCGCATGTGTATTCGCATGTGTATTCGCATGTGTATTCGCATGTGTATTTACCTCAGCCTCTTGCAGTGCATGTGTCCTGTGCATGTGCCATGTGCATGTGCCATGTGCATGTGCATGCCGAAGCGCACAGACTCACCACGAGAGCTGTGGAGAGGGCATATGCTGTCACAAGGGCCTATCGGGGGGGAGTGAGGGGAGGCTCTGCCTGTGCTGTGCCCCATGCCCCATGCCCCATGCCCCATGCCCCATGCCCCATGCCCCATGCCCCATGCCCCATGCCCCATGCCCCATGCCCCATGCCCCATGCCCCATGCCCCATGCCCCATGCCCCATGCCCCATGCTCCATGCCCCATGCCCCATGCCCCATGCCCCATGCCCCATGCCCCATGCCCCATGCCCCATGCCCCATGCCCCATGCCCCATGCTCCATGCCCCATGCCCCATGCCCCATGCCCCATGCCCCATGCCCTCTGCACGCCTATCCACACCAACTCACCACGAGAGCAGTGCAGAGAGCATATGCTGTGACAAGGGCCTGCAGGGGAGTGTGAGAGCAGAGAGCAAGGGAGGGCGAGTGGAGGAAGTTGGGAAGGTGAGCGCGAAATGGGGTGGGTCGGATCAGAGGAGGGGGAAGAGGAGTGTTTCAATGCGACTAGTATACTGGGGGGGAAGGGGGGGGTGGGTAATGTATGCATGGAGTACCAGTCACCATGCATTTGCTTCTCTACCATAGGCACGCTGCACCCATGGCGTATGGATGCATCATCACTATGGGGTAGACATGGTGCATTCCCTTCCCACGATGACTGCCAGCCAACCTCTCTATGTTGAGTCGAGCACAGCACAGCGTAGCACATTCCGGTGCAGAGTGGTGGGATGCAGTGCAATGCGGTGCAGTGCATCACCATGGGAGCATCGGGGTCGCTGTATGTGAATTCTACAGGAGAAGTCATGGTGAATCCGCCCACTATAGCCGCCAGCCACGCCATGGCCCTCATGTGCTCCCCTCCACAGCAAACTTCAGTGTGGTGGAGCACAGTAGAGTACAGTTGAATGCGGTGGAGTGCGATGCAGTGCGGTTGAGTGAGGTGCATCACCATGGGGGCATCGGGGTCGCTGTATGTGAACTCCACGGGGGCAGTCATGGTGAATCCGCCCACTATAGCCGCCAGCCACGCCATGGCCCTCATGTGCCCCACTCCAGACACACATCATCAAGTGCAGTGGAGAGCGGTGAAGTGTGGTGAGGTGAAGTTCAATGGTGTGCAGTGCGGTACATTACCATGGGAGCATCGGGGTCGCTATAAGTAAACTCCACAGGAGCAGTCATGGTGAATCCGCCCACTATGGCCGCCAGCCACGCCATGGCCCTCATGTGCTCCGCCTTCTCCTCCACGCTGCGCCTGTTGCACTCCTTGGTGCTGGCGGGGCGAGGGGAAGGTGGGGTGGGAGAAGGGTGAGGGAAGTGGGATAAGGGACAAGAGGAAAAGGGGTGGGGTGTTGGTGTGCCATGCCATGGCTCCCATGTGCTCCTTTCCGCCTTCTCCTCCACGTTCCACCTGTTGCACTCCTTGGTGCTGGCGGCAAGGGGAACTTAGTGGAGGGAGAGGCAAGAAGGGTTATGAATGGGAGACACACGGTCTTTCAGTGACAAAAGCCATGGGGAATGCAAGATATCAAGAGACTGAAAGCGAGGTATACCAAGAGACAGCACTCACAAAAGTGTATCCCCACCCGTTCTCAAAACCATTTTTCTCCCCTTCTACCTCCTCTCTATGCCCTCTCCCTCCCTGGCTACTCTTTCCCTGCCTCGTTCCCCAACTCTGTCCCCCATATACACCGCATAGCAACTCTTCTTAGATAAACACTCCCCAGATACACCTTCTCTGCTGCGCCTCCTCCTTACCGGTCCCACAGGTGCATGGCGTTGTCCACGTGGCGCTGCTGCATTATCTCGTGGCGCCACCTGGCGAGAGGGCATTGGAACAGACGGACAGGCGTGGAATAGGATTTGAAATTTTATTTGGTCAGTCTGGTTATTTGTTGTAAAACAGGGTGATAAAGGCTTGTTAGAAGCACAAACGTTAGAGGCATACCCAGTACGCACCTGTTAAAAGCACACCCGTTAGAAGCACACCTGTGTCTCACAGTGCGGAACATGCGCTCCTCCGCTTTGAATCGCCTTTCCTCCGCGCGGAACGCCACGTCATCCGCGCGCCACCGGCGCAGCTCCTCCCGCCATTGGCGCTCCTCCTTCCGCCAATCCCTCGCGGTCCACGTGTCCAGCGCGGTCAGCGCCGCTTGCGCCATTTAGGCGGCGCCGCGTCGCGCTTTTCTTGTAGACGCGCTGCTGCACGAGGAGCTTTGGTTTGAGTGGTTAAGACATGGGCTTTAAGTGCCAGCGTCACTCGCCATTGTTGCGACGGTCGAAGCATAGGGTCTTTGGAAACGTATTCTAGATTGCCTCCTTGATTACTCAGTCTTTCTATTGGGTGATGGTGGGATTCTTGTGTCCTGAAGCATGGCGGTGAGTGAGCAGAGTCAAAGTTGTGTTACAGTTCGGACATGTCTCATCGGAACCTATCTATTATCCAAGTTGTCATGTTTTATCATTTGTTTGTGTAAAGCACAATGGTTCTGAAATGCACAGCATCACGCGATATACTCTGTTCTCTAACATTCTTCATATAGCGCGTACAAAACCCCCTGAACCTCCTCCTCATCACCGCCATCCCTCCCATCCCACCCATACCCCACTAGACTGACGCGATTTCGGGGAACTCGGCTTTATTCCCAAGCTTCAACAGCCATTTCGTGTCGTGCTGCGCTGGCAGCATTGCCCTGGTTGCTTGCCCTGTGAACTTCACGGTCGAAGTGAGTTCGACTAGGCACGGACGCGTTTACGACCTGGTGATCTCCGTTCGTTAGGCCTCTTCGTTTCGACTGATCCGTCTCGGCCTGCACTGACCGTCGACCAATCTTGACCCTCGATCAGTCTCCACCGTCGATCAGTTCAGACGTCGATCAATCTCGGCCGTCAACGATTGCGGTCGTCGAGCAATCTCGGCCGTCAAACAATAGTCAGGAAGTCGATATCGTATTGTATAAAGGCCAGCAGCCATGGGTGTCCTGGAGAAGATCAAGGAGATCGAGCTGGAAATGGCGCGAACGCAGAAGAATAAAGCCACGGGTGGGTCCCACGGATGAATCCCACGCATGAATCCTGCGGGTGTCCCACGGGTGGGTACGGGTGCGTGCGGGTGGGTGCAGGTGTCACGGGTTGGTCATGGCGTTTCAAAAGCAATCGCAGTATGGCTATGGGAATGTCGCACTGGTCGCATGCCTGCCTGCTTGATCTTATAAACTCCTCATCGCATGGTCGCATGACTGCATGGTCGCATGACTGCATGGTCGCATGACTGCATGATCGCATGACTGCATGATCGCATGACTGCATGGTCGCATGAGTGCATGGTTGCATGACTGCATGGTTGCATGACTGCATGGTCTCTTGACTGCATGGTCGCAAGACTGCATGGTCGCATGACTGCATGGTCGCATGACTGCATGGTCGCATGACTGCATGGTCGCATGACTGCAAGATCGCATGACTGCATGGTCGCATGACTGCATGGTCGCATGACTGGATGGTCGCATGACTGCATGGTCGCTTGACTGCATGGTCGCGTGCTCGCATGCTCAATTCGTAAGCCGTTAATGCCTTGTTTCCTCGTACTTTCTTCTCCTCTGTACTGCCAACTCTCTCTGTGTATTCCATCCTCGTTATCGTCTCTTTTGCCATCTGGGTTAGCTCAAGGTAAAGCTAGCTCACCTGCAAACATCCATCCTCGTTATTGTCTCTGTCTCGTATCCTTTCTTGACGTGCAGAGTACCATCTGGGTCAGCTCAAGGCGAAGCTAGCTCGCCTGCGAACACAGCTGCTCGAACCAGCCAAGGTGCGGTCTGTCCGCCATATAAGCCATGCGTTTTATAGATTCAGCTGTTGGAACAAGACCATGTAATCGGACTCAAGCGTTTCCAGGACGTGATTCTCCTAGCCGTGTTGTCTCCTCACCCTTTCTTCTCCTTCGTGTGAGTAAGCAACAAGAGGTAGCTTACAAGCACTTTAACAAACTTCATCGCCTCGCATGCATCGGATGTTCACGACTCTGCTCCTTTCCCCCACACCCTCCCTCCCCCTCTCCTTCCCTCCTCCAACAACCCCACTGCCTGCAGGCTCGTCAGGAGCAGGCGAGGGGTTTGAGGTGACCAAGTTTGGGCACGGACGGGTGGCACTCATTGGTTTTCCCAGTGTTGGAAAGTCCACCCTCCTCGCCGTGCTCACTGGCACGCGCTAAGGCACGCGCTCACTGACACTTGGTCATACGAGTCGGCTCCTCTCCCCTTGCCCGGCCCCCCCTCTCCCCCTCCCTCCCTCCTCGCACCCCCCCCGCTTACTGCGTTTCCTGTGCAGGGTTCCTCGGGAGCGGGCGGGGGGTTTGAGGTCACCAAGTTTGGGCACGGGCAAGTTGCGCTCATCGGCTTTCCTAGTGTGGGCAAGTCCACCCTCCTCACTGTGCTCACTGGCACTCGCTCCGAGGCGGCCGCGAACGAGTTCACGACACAGGAAGAGGTTCTTGCTTGCTCTTCTCTCCCTCTCACCTCCCTGTTGCACTCAAACTTCTCTCCCTTCCCTCCCTCCCACCCCAACCCCTGCCTGCAGGGTTCCTCAGGAGCAGGCGAGGGGTTTGAGGTGACCAAGTTTGGGCACGGGCGAGTGGCACTCATCGGCTTTCCTAGTGTGGGAAAGTCCACTCTCCTCACCGTGCTCACTGGCACTCGCTCAGAGGCGGCTGCGTACGAGTTCACCACGCTGACGTGCATCCCTGGGATTATCAACTATAACGATACGAAGATTCAGCTGCTGGATTTGCCAGGGATTATTGAGGGCGCGTCCCAGGGCAAGGGACGTGGGAGACAGGTGGGTGGGGTGGGGATGGGAGGGGGGGGGATTGTGAGTATGAGGGAAGGTGGGGGGGATTTATGTGGGTGGGTGGAAGGGAAGGGGAGGGGCATGGCAGGGCATGGCATGGCATGACACTATCGTCTCCTTCCCTGGTCCCCCCCACTCACACTGTCCTGCATGACAGTACCCCTCTTCCCTCTTCACCCGCTCGCTCACCCTCTTCTCCTTCCATACCCCAACTCTTTTATGCTCTCTTTCTCCCAATTTCCCTTGCCTGCCTGCCTGCCTGCCATCCTGTCTGCATGGCTGCCTGCCATCCTGTCTGCATGGCTGCCTGCCATCCTGTCTGCATGCATCATCCCTGCCTGCCATCCTGTCTGCATGGCTGCCTGCCATCCTCTCCCTCCCGGGCTCTCTCCTCCCCATCAGGTCATTGCAGTCGCCAAGTCGTCTGATCTCGTGCTCATGGTGCTCGATGCCTCCAAGGTGAGTGCCTCTGGTCTGGTCTGCCCAGGTGTTTTCAACAGTTCAGGGAAAAAAGCACCTTGCACAGCCAAGTCATTTGATCTCGTGCTCATGGTGCTCGATGCCTCCACGGTGAGATCAAAGGAATGCTTGTTGTTAGGAATTTCAAAAGCACCCTGAAGATAATTATGCTAGTAAGATTAGTAATAATAATAACAATAATAATAACAACAATAATAACGATATTAATAACAATAATGTCAAATAATAATAGTAATAGTAATAATATTAATAATATTATATTTTTAGAACCCTTTCAATTTCGAAACATTTTTGCCTTCTTTTGTCAAGTCTTTTGTTTCGTGCCATAAAGAAACCCATGCTTCCTCTCTCCTCTCCACCTGCTCACTCTCAGAGCGACGCCCACCGTCAGATCCTGACCAAGGAGCTTGAATCCGTGGGGCTGCGCCTGAACAAGACACTGTCTCCCCTCTCTTGCTCCTTTATCTGTACCCGTCCACCACCTTCCACCCCTCTCAACACCACCAGAGCGACGCCCACCGTCAGATTCTAACCAAGGAGCTCGAATCCGTGGGGCTGCGCCTCAACAAGCAGCCGCCCAATGTGAGCACGGGAGGGGGTGGCTGAAAGTGGGGGAGGGCATTGGGGAAGGGGAGTGGGGAGAAGGGGACGGTGGACGGCACTAGTGATGAGGCTGTGGGCCTGCGTTTGAACAAGCAGCCGTCCATTTGTGAGCCTTTGAGGGGTTGGCTGAAAGTTGGGGGAGGGGGGGGGAGGTATTGGGGAAGGGGAGTGGAGGAGAGAGGGGGAGGGTGGGGTGGACGGCACTAGTGATGAGGCTGTGGGCCTGCGTTTAAACAAGCACCTCCCATTGTGAGCCTGGGAGGGGGTTGGCTGGGGGTATAGGCTGAGGTGAGGGTATGGGCTGGGTTGCAGTTAAGCAGTTGCGCTGGCACTTAGCAGGGAAAGGGAGAAGGAATGGGAAGTGTGACATGAGAAAGGGTAAAGAACTGCCATTCAAGTCCATGCATGTGACCCCTTTTCACCGTCCCAGTCTCTGTATGGATCCATCTCTCTCCTTTCTCCCCATCCTCCCACCTGCCCATCAGATCTACTTTAGGAAGAAGACGAGTAGAATCTCCTTTTAATGCTGTCTCTTGCACACCACATGACACAGGACCACACCACGCCACACTACACCTCACCGCACCGCACCACACCCCTCTCCCCCATCAGATCTACTTCAAAAAGAAGAAGACGGGCGGCATCTCATTCAACTCTACAGGCCCACTCACGCACATCGATGAGAAGCTGTGCTATCAGATCCTGCACGAGTACAAGATCCACAATGCAGAGGTGAGTCATTCTGCAGTGTGCTTGTGTCTATGCAGCATCAATCAGGTGCGCAGTGAAAGCAGGGGCGCCCCACTCACACACATCGATGAGAAGCTGTGCTATCAGATCAGATCCTGCACGAGTACAAGATCCACAACGCTGAAGTGAGTGAGTGTGACTCTGTGTTGCTGCATGAGTGTGTGGAGTAGAAGATCCACAACGCTGAAGTGAGTGAGTGTGACTCTGTGTTGCTGCATGAGTGTGTGGAGGTGGAGGTGGGGGGAATGGGGGAACAGGGGGGTCGGCACTCCTCTCACACACATCGATGAGAAGCTGTGCTATCAGATCCTGCACGCGTACAAGATCCACAACGCTGAAGTGAGTGAGTGTGACTCTGTGTTGCTGCATGAGTGTGTGGAGGTGGAGGTGGGGGGAAGGGGGGAACAGGGGGGTCGGCACTCCTCTCACACACATCGATGAGAAGCTGTGCTACCAGATCCTGCACGCGTACATGATCCACAAT